AGAAGAGTGATGTCTAGAAGCAAGAAGGAAGTATTGGTGGATTTCTAGGAGTTGGACACGATCAATGGTATTAGATGTTCCTTTTAGGCAAATAAGTTGAAGACTCAAAATTGGCCATTGGACCAGTGTATAGAGGTCACTGTGGCCCTTGACCAGTGTAGATGAGGGCAGTGTGGCCCAGAAGCATGGCTTGAAGCAGAGGTGCAGCTGCCTGGGCCCTGCCCTTCCCCTGTCCAGGCAGCCCCCCTCCCCCCCAGCCCCTGTCCAGCAGCCATCTCCCTCCCTGTCCTGCTCATGGCATCCTGCTCTCCCTTTCCTCCCCGTACCCCCCAGACTGGTGCTTGCTCGGGGCAAGTCAGGGCACTCCTGTCAGCTGGGCCCCCTCTGGGCCCCAGGAGGCCGCCACTGGAGCCCTGCCTCTTCCTGGCAGGGAGCATCGAGTACAGCTGTCCGGCCTCCAACGAGTGTGAGATCACCAAGCGGAGACGCAAGGCCTGCCAGGCCTGCCGCTTCACCAAGTGCCTGCGGGTGGGCATGCTCAAGGAGGGTGAGCGCTGGGCAGGGGCTGGGGGAGGTGTGCTGGGCAAAGCCTGGGGAAGGGCTCTGGCACACAGGCCTGCCCTATCCCAACACAGTCCTGACTTACAATTAAAGGGGTACGCCTGGACCGTGTCCGGGGTGGGCGACAGAAGTACAAGCGGAGGCCAGAAGTGGATCCTCTGCCTTTCCCAGGCCCCTTCCCTGCAGGCCCCCTGGCAGTAGCTGGAGGCCCCCGGAAGACAGGTGAGATCTCTGAGGAAAGGGGGTCTTTAGAGCATGAGAGGAGGGCGGCCCTTTATAGCATCAGTCTGGGCACTATACCCATATTTCACTTTCCTCATTTCATTTATTTCCCTAAAAACTATTTGTGAAATTTGTCTTCATATGACACCAAGTAGTAGACTTGGGACCAGATAGCTACAGTCCAGCCTGAGGGTAGACTTAGCAGGCAGTGCCTGTCTACCAGCAGGCTGACTTTCCCCTGGAGCCTGGGAGCATTGCTCCTGGCTGGCCAGCAGCTATGGAGGAAGGCCGCAAGGCTTGAGAAGACACCTGGCCCTGAGGGGCCTGTGGGCCTACAAGATCCCAGCGCTTGTGGCTTTCCTCTTTCACCTGTCACTGTAGCCCCAGTGAATGCGCTGGTGTCTCACCTGCTGGTGGTGGAGCCTGAGAAGCTGTATGCCATGCCTGACCCAGCGGGCCCTGACGGACATCTCCCAGCAGTGGCTACCCTCTGCGACCTCTTTGACCGAGAGATTGTGGTCACCATCAGCTGGGCCAAAAGCATCCCAGGTAATGGGCTCAGGGAACCTGGGGCTTCCCTGAGCAGGCCTGGCCGTGCTTGGCTGCGGTGCGCTTGCTCAGTCAGGCCTGTTCCCACTGCGCTTGCTCAGCCAAGCCTGCTCCCACCGCCCTCCAGGCTTCTCGTCACTGTCGCTGTCTGACCAGATGTCAGTACTGCAGAGCGTGTGGATGGAGGTGCTGGTGCTGGGGGTGGCCCAGCGCTCACTGCCCCTGCAGGATGAGCTGGCCTTTGCAGAGGACTTGGTCCTAGATGAAGAAGGAGCACGGGCAGCCGGCTTGGGAGAGCTAGGGGCAGCCCTGCTGCAACTCGTCCGGCGACTGCAGGCCCTGCGGCTCGAGCGAGAAGAGTATGTCCTGCTGAAGGCCCTGGCCCTTGCCAATTCTGGTGAGTCGAGGGTAGGCGCCCACACATTCAGAAAGCCCTCTAAGTGTAAACCTTGTTATAATGGTGGGACAGTCCCATTTTGCAGATCAGGAAACTGAAGCTTAGAGAACAGTGTGCTGATATTGGGGCTTGAACTTGGAGGCTGGTGCTGTCTCTTAGTTATTTCAGTGCTTTACTACTTTAGTCAGAGCTGCACTTCTTTTTTTTGTTGGTTGTGGGGCTTGGAACTCTGGGCCTGGGCGCGGTCCCTCGGCTCTATAGCTCAAGGCAAGCGCTCTACCACTTGAGCCACAGCGCCACTTCGTTTTCTGAGTTGATTATTGGAGATAGAGTCTCTCGGACTTTCCTTGCCCGGGCTGGCTTTGAACCATGATCCTCAGATCTCAGCCTACTGAGTAGCTAGGCTTACAGGCGTGAGCCACAGGCTCCCAGCAGCTTCACTTCTTTTTGCTGGCTTATTTGCACTGGACTTTTCTGCTTGGGCTGGCTTTAAACTGAGATCTTCAGATCTTAGCCTTCTGAGTAGCTAGGATTATGGGAGTAAGCTACCAGCATGTAGCTCACATCAAGATTGCAAGCCCTAGTGCAGTGCTAATGTGGGAGAGGAGGTGGAGAGGACAGGAAGTAGCCATAGTTAAGAGAAAAGGAAAGGCCCTGGCTGTGGGCAGGAGCAGGAAGCTGTGTCTACCAGCTAATCAGTGAATCTGTATTTGACCTCTCAGGCCCCATCCAGGAGCCCCAGGTAGAGGCTGGTTCAGACCTTTACAGAAATAGCCCATGTCAACACTTCTCTCTTCCTCAGATTCTGTGCACATTGAAGACGCCGAGGCTGTGGAGCAGCTACGAGAAGCTCTGCACGAGGCCCTGCTGGAGTATGAAGCTGGCAGGGCTGGCCCTGGAGGGGGTGCAGAGCGGCGGCGGGCAGGCAGGCTGCTGCTCACATTGCCACTCCTCCGCCAGACAGCTGGCAAAGTCCTGGCCCATTTCTACGGGGTGAAGCTGGAGGGCAAGGTGCCCATGCACAAGCTGTTTCTGGAGATGCTTGAGGCCATGATGGACTGAGGCGAGGGGTGGGATGGGTGGGGTCAGCACCCAAGGGGCAGAGCTGGGGCCTGGGCAGTGCCACAGCCTGCTGGCAGGGCCAGGGCAATGCCATCAGCCCCTGGGAGCAGGTGCCATGCCCTTCCCCTCCCCCCTTAGGGGGTGTCAAGCTGGGAAAGTAATGCCCGGATCTGGGCACAGTGCTGCCCCTTGCAAGCCATAACGTGCCCCTAAGAGAATAGGGGGCCTTGCGGAAGCCATAAGGGGCTTCAGGGGATGTGTGGGAGGCAGAAACCCAATCTCAGGGAGGGAAGGGGATGGAGGCCACAGTCTCCCAGTGGGTGATGCTTTTGCTGCTGCTTAATCCCATCCCCCTCTCCAGAGCAGAGGGGGATTTGGAGAGCAAAGGCCCCGGCCCCTTCGCTCCTCTCCTCATCATTTGCATTGGGCATTAGTGCCCCCCCCTTGAAGCAATAACTCCAAGCAGGCTCCAGCCCCTGGACTCTTGGGGTGGCCAGGGCTCCCCATCAGCTCCTGCCCAGCCTCCTCAGGGGGTGGGGAGGGCACTGCCTCTATGCCCTGCAGAGCAATAACACTATATTTATTTTTGGGTTCGGCCAAGGAGGCGCAGGGACATGGGGCAAGCCAGGGCCCAGAGCCCATGGCTGTACAGAGACTCTATTTTAATGTATATTTGCTGCAAAGAGAAACCGCTTTTGGTTTTGAACCTTTAATGAGAAAAAAAAATATACTATGGAGCTCAAGAAGTGTGTTCCTTGTGTTAATGGGTCAAAGTTGGGACTCAAATAGTAAAAACACAATATACATTAAAAAAAAAATAGATACACAGGGCCATGGAATGTCACACTGCTAGCTGGCAAATTTATGACTCAGTTTCTTCATCATTCAGCAGCATGTTGGGGATCCCACGACTGATAGGGAACAGACGCCCCGATTCTGGGCACTGCAGGGTGCCCTCCAGAACGTCCACCTAAGGGAAGGGGAAAGGAAAGCCAAAGTGAGCACTGACAGCCTCTGGGTGCCAGGACAGGGCAAGCGGGTGGCCGACCCATTCGACCCATTCTCACCTCCAGCAATACGTGGTGCATCTTCCTTAGAAACGCCTCATCGCGCTCATACCCCTCAACCGGCTCGGTGGGGACCTCGCCCAGCTGCAACTGTGGGCAAGAAACCTCAGTCATCTGTGGGGGGCCCCGACCCTTCCTCCAGCCAGGCTCCGGCCGGCTCACGGGGCGGCGGTGAACCTGCCCCGCGTCCGAGGGCAGGACGGGCCCCTCACCGTATTGGCCGCCTCCCGAAGCGCCGCCCACTCCACCTTGGGTATCATCCGCGCCACGAAGTCGGGGTTGAACTCCACAGGGTTGATGCGGACCTCGGTGGCCTGGGGGGGGGGGGAGAGAGGGTTAGTATGGCAGAGGCAGGATCCAGGGGTTTCTATCCCTCCCGGAAGGGAGAAGGCGTGGGAGCGTCCCGGCCGGTACCTGGAGGCGCAGGGGGAAGCCACGGGGCCCCACCCCGCGCACATGCGAGGTCAGGAGATTGTGGGTGAGAAGTTTCATGCTGCTCTCCGAGATCTTGCCAGGCCGGAACCGGAAAGAGACGCGCTTCGGCACGTCACTTCCGGAACCATTTGCGCGCACGCGCGCTCTCTACACTATTGGACCTGCGGGAAGACCGGAAGTGGCGAACTTGCTGGAACTTCTGGAGCTTGCTGGAGCTCTGGTGTGGGAAAGCGCTGGTCGGGTCACGCGCTGTTCCCGGAAGCATTTCGGTGGGAGGTTGGCATGGCGCATGCCAAAACCTACCCGCTGTTAACTCGTACGTGAAGATGCAAATCATATGTAAAACAGCTGCAATGCAGAGGCCGAGTTGCACCTAAAATAAACATGCCTTCAGCCTACATTATCTGCAGGCTGACACTATTTCCGTCCTTTTGTTTTTAGCTAAGGGAGGGAAACTGTCCCATGTGTAAATTAAACCTTTAAAACGGAAGCACCCCGTTACGTACAAATAAGTTGAGTGACTGCCAGAGGCTCCGCCCCCTGGGTGAAAGCGTCACCGCGCAGCCCCTAATGCAGATGAGTTCAGCGGCCCGGAAGGTCTGCTGCGCCTGCGCAGTGCGAGCGACGCTCCGGGGCGGGGCGGACGAGGCCCCGCCCGCCCGAGGCCCCGCCCGCTCGAGGCCCGAGGCCCCGCCTCCCGCCGGTCCGTCCTTCGGAGGCGCTGCGCCGGGTGGGCGGGCATGGGGCTGTCCTGGCTACGAGTCCTCGGGCGACAAACCAGCCCGGTACTGCTGAGTCGTGCGTCTGCCTTTGAGTTCCCGGCTGCGGGACCGCGAACGCGAAGAGGAGAGTGGCAGCGTGGCGGGACCCGCTGTTTCCACCGAGCTGCGGCAGCCATGGCCCCGATCAAGGTGACCGCTCACCCCTGCCCCCGTCTCCCCATTCCGCCCCCTGCCTGCCGCCGCGTCCGGCCCCTCCTGCCGACCGCCCTTGACCCCTCGCTTCTCGTCCACGTTAGCGTCCTCGCGCCCCTTCTCCTAAGGCCCCCGCCCCTCCTCCCCTGCCGGCCACCGTGCGACACCAGGCGGCCCCCGTGCTTTTAGGCGGTTGATTATACCACGGCATTCTTCACCTTCTAGAAGCATCTTGACCGCAGGACCCCTTTTCAATCTCTTCTACATGTCTTCCGCTGCACTCTTCCCATGCTTTTCTGATGGTATCTCTACTTCACCCCATTTTCTGAGACAGCTGTGGTCCCTTGGAGCGCCCAGCGTGTTTCCCGTGTTAGCTCATGACCATCCCCATGGCGGATCCCGCTGTTCTGTGGTGTCTTTCACCCATCTTCTGGACCCTCCTGTTCCTAGGACCTTCCCCTTCTCTCCACCCTCTTCTGAGTCCCCCCCCCACCTCCCCCACACACCGTTTACTTTATCTTGCTCAAGCTCGGAGGACACCCTCTTGTCGGCCCCCCTCATCTCCTCATTCTATACATACACAGCTCTCTGCCCCCCCTTCCCATTTAATCCACTTTTTCCACTCAAGCTGGGGCTCTACTACTTGAGCCATAGCTCCACTTCCAGATTTTTGCTGGTTAATTGGTGATAAGAGTTTTGGACTACTCTGCCCTTGCTGACTTGAAACTTCTCACTGGGCACTGGTGGCTCATGCCTGTAATCCTAGCTACTCAAGAGTTAGGCTAAAACCTGAGGATTGCAGTTCAAAGACAGCCCCCGTAGGAAAGGAAAGTCTGTGAGACTCTTTTTGGTCGGTCACGGGGCTTGAACTGTGGGCCTGAGCGCTGTCCCTCAGCTCTCCAGCTCAAGGCTAGCACTCTACCACTTGAGCTACAGCACCACTTCTGGTTTTCTGGTGGTTTGTTGGAGATAAGAGTCTCATGGTCTTTCCTGCCCAAGCTGGCTTTGAACTGTGATCCTCAAATCTCAGCCTTCTTTTTTTTTTTTTTAATTTAAGTTTATTTTATTTGTGAACATACTGTACAGAGGGGTTACAATTACATGGGCAGGATAATGCGTACATTTCTTACCAAGCATTGCAGCCTCCTCCTTTGTTTACCCTTCACCTCCCTTCCGAGCCTCCCCCCTCCCCCAAATCTCAGCCTTCTGAGTAGCTAGGATTACAGGCGTGGGCCACCAGTGCCAGGCTCCTGAGACACTTACCTCCAGTTAATCACAGAAAAAGCCAAAAGTGGTGCTGTGGCTTAAGCGGTAGAGTGCTAGCCTTCAGCAAAAGAAACTCAGAGACAGTTCCCAGGCCCAGAGTTCAAGCCCTGGGACTGGCAGAAACAGACATAAAAAGCTTCTAAAATCTCAGCCTCCTGAGTAGCTAGGATTACAGGCATGAGCTTCAGGTACCCAGTTTTAATCTACTGTTTTAAGAAACTAGGCCTTTTGTTTGCACAGCATTGCAACATTTGGGGTGGTGACTCCCTTTCTCTGCTGTCATCTACAGTCCTTCAGATGGAGCAGGGCCTCCTTGAAACCTGGAGGATGTGGAGTCATGTTGACATGTGGGAGGGACCAGGGAGGGACTCCTGACCTGTTAGCCTTTGCCTGTGGGTTTCCAGGCACCAGCCTGTGTGTCCCCCTGGCTGGCGTTTGCTGCACCTCCCTCAGGACCCCCTTCTACCCTAGAGTCCTTGCTTCCAGGTAGGAGATCCCATTCCCTCCGTGGAGGTGTTTGAAGGGCAGCCTGGGAACAAGGTGAACCTGGCTGAGCTGTTCAAGGGGAAGAAGGGCGTGCTGTTTGGAGTCCCTGGGGCGTTTACCCCAGGCTGTTCCAAGGTAAGGCTCCTCAATGGGATCAATAATCAGGATCTTCTATATTGTTCTTAGATCTGTGTGTTGCTGAGACAACTGGGCACAAGAATACATAGATTGGACAGTTGAGAAAGCATTTTTAGAGCCAGGTGCTGGTGGCTCAGGCTTGTAATCATAATTACTCAGGAGGCTGAGATCTAGAATCATGCTTCAAAGCCAGCCCAGGCAGGAAAGTCCATGAGATTCTTATTTCTAATTAACCACCAGAAAACTAGAAGTGGCATTGTGGCTCAAAATGGTAGAGCCAAAGAGCTCAGGGATAGAGCCTGGGCCCTGAGTTCAAGCCCCATGGCCAACAAAAAAAGAGAGCATTTTAGGTGACAGTACCAGCATTGCATAGGAGGGCTGCAGTTGGGTCCTCCTAAACCGCTTACTAATTCTTGTGGGGGGTGGTAGGCACTGTGGAGGTACTTGGGACTGAGGCAAATGAGCCATAGTTCTGCCCATGGAAAGTTCATGATCTTGACCACAAGACATGTGAACCTGTGCTCTTTAGTAGCTAAAGCAGAAAGGATTTTCATTGCCTGATGAGAGGGGTTGATCAGAGAGGGGGGAGGATGAAGGGTGGGCTGAGGAGCGCATGCGCTTATCCCTGTGATCACTCTGCTTCCCCTTCTTAGACCCACTTGCCTGGATATGTGGACCAGGTCGGGGCTTTGAAGGACAAAGGTGTGCAGGTGGTAGCGTGCCTGTGTGTGAACGATGTCTTTGTGACTGGAGAGTGGGGACGCGTGAATAAGACAGAAGGCAAGGTAAGGCCGGAGCCTGCAGGGGGCTGGGGCTGGGTGGGAGGCTTAGGTTATAACCTTTCTCTCTGTCCTTCAGATTCGCCTCCTAGCTGACCCTACTGGGGCCTTCGGGAAGGTGAGTCAGTCCCAGTCCCAACTGGCTTCGGAAGCGGGCGATCCCGAAAACATTCTTTTTTTGGGGGGGGTCCGGTCGTGGGGCCTGAACTCTGGGCCTGAGCGCTGTCCCTCAGCTCTTCAGCTCAAGGCTAGCGCTCTACCACTTGAGCCACAGTACCACTTCCGGCTTTTTTCTTTTTGCTTATGTGGTGCTGAGGAATCGAACCCAGGGCCTCATGCATGCAAGGCAAGCGCTCTACCACTGAGCCACCTTCCCAGCCCCCCGAAAACATCCTTGACAGATTTCTCTGCTTTTCCCCTAGGAGACAGATTTGTTACTAGATGATTCCATGGTGCCCCTCTTTGGGAATCGCAGGCTCAAGAGGTACCGTGGGGGCTTCCCCGGGACCCTCATCTACCTCAGAGCCAGGCTGATACAGCTAGCCGCTCCCTCTTTCTGGCAGGTTCTCCATGGTGATAGAGGATGGAGTAGTGAAGATCCTGAACATAGAGCCGGACGGCACAGGCCTCAGCTGCAGCCTGGCTCCCAACATCCTCTCCCAGCTCTGAGCCTGGACCACAGGCTCTCCATATGCCCAGGCAGCCCCGCCTCACCTAGAGCCGCCCAGATGGAACCTTGGCCTGATGCCTGCAATAAATACTCTACCTTCAGTCTGTTTTTGCTGTGGAATCAATGCTTGGCACAGGGCCTCAGGGCATAGTCTCAGGCCTAGAGGCTGGGAGGGCTGGGGGGCCAGGGGAGGGGAGAGGAGGGTCCTTAAGGAGAGCTGGGTCAGGCCCGGGCAGGCTGTGGAACTCCATTGTAGCCTAGAAGCCTAGACAGAGCCAGTGTTGCCTGTAACCCATTTCCAAGAAGCACAGCGGGAGCCAGGCCTGTACCAGCACACCTCGACCTTTCATGCTTGGTCTGGTAGATCTCAGGACAGGACCTTTGGCTTTAGACCTCCCCCAGCCCCAGCCCCCAGCAGTGTTTACACTGGGAGGGAGCAGTAATGGCCTGGTCCAGGAGGCTGGTGGAGTGGCTAGAAGCCTGGGATAGCCTGGGCCCCAGGGCAGCATAGGGAAGCCCTGCTGTGGTAAGTGACTGTCCCCAGGGGGACGACACTTATAGAGCCACCGCTGGCAGGTGAGGTGCACACTGGTGCTGCCCTCCGGCTGGGGAGCACGGACTCAGTCAGCAGGTCCCTTGGGTCTGTGTCGCTGAGCTCGTGGAGGTTCTGCAGCAAGCCACAGGCAGGAGGCCTGCGAGGAAACCCTGTGCCACTTGAGCTACATCCTTGGCTTTGGGTAGTTGTTTACTTAGATCATCTCTCTCTGTCTCTCTGTCTCTGTCTCTGTCTCTCTGTCTCTCTCTGACAGTTCTAAGATTTGAATTCAGGTCCTCACATTTGTTAGGCAGGTATTATTTCATTTGAATTTGAGACGTGTTCTGTTCTCTGTCCTCTTAGTTATTTTAGTTATTTTTGAGATAGAGTCTTATATTTTTCCTCCAGGGCCAGCATCAGACTCTGGTCCTCCTACTATGGCCTCCTGTCCTCCCATGTAACTGGAGGATTACAGGTACAAGCTACCACATCGGGCTTACTGCTTGAGATGAAGTGTTTGTCTGGGCTTGCCTCACAACACGTATCACATTTCTCATAATCGCAACTTCCTAAGTAGTTGATATTACCAAATGAGTCACTACCCCCAGGTAAACCCACACTTCTGTCTTGCTCTGCCATTTCAAACATGTGTCTTTATCTTTGGATTCAGTATGACTGCTGGAATTCCAGACGTCACATCTGTACTCCCGCCAACAGGAAGGAGGAAATGGGGCTTTGGAGAAAAAGTCCCATCCAGAAAGTTTCCCTGGTTGTTTTTGACCTTTATCCAACCTCACTTCTTGCCCCTGGAAGTGTGCTGTCTTGGTCATACACCTCTCCCATAGCTGCCGCATGCCTCAGGGAGTACTTAGACTCCTGAAAAATCTTTTTACTATGTTTTATTTGTTTTTTTTTTTTTTTTTGTCGGTCGTGGGGCCTGAACTCTGGGCCTGGGCGCTGTCCCTCAGCTCTTCAGCTCAAGACTAGCGCTCTACCACTTGAGCCACAGTGCCACTTCTGGCTTTTTCCTGCTTATGTGGTGCTGAGGAATCGAACCCAGGGCTTCATGCATGCAAGGCAAGCGCTCTACCTCTGAGCCACCTTCCCAGCCCCTTTACTATGTTTTAAAAGGATAGTTAGGGCTGGGAAGTTGCCTCACATGCATGAGGTCTTGGGTTCGATTCCTCAGCAACATATAAGCAGGAAAATGCTGGAAGTGCTGTTCCTCAAACCTATAATCCTAATTACTCAAGAAGCTGAAGTCGGAGGATCACAGTTTGAAGCCAGACAAGACAGAATAGTCTTGTGAGACTTTTATCTCCAATTAAACAGCAAAAAGCTGGAAGTGGAGCTGTGCCTGAAGTTGTAGAGCATCAGCCTCGAGTGAAAGGGCTAAGGAAAGTAGGCCCTGAGTTCAGGTCCTGGTACTGGCACGAAGAATGAGAAAGTAAAAGAAGAGCTGGGTGCCGGTGGAAGGAATTAAAAAGGGAGAGGAAGGAAGGAAGAAAAGATTGGTTTTCTTTGAAAGCTGCCATGCAGTGAGCTCCCCTCATTCAAGGGGGTTCAGTTCCCAGATGTGGGTTCCCTATCTACATCACACTTTCTTTTCATACACATATCCACAAGAACATTTAATTCATAAATGGTTCGTATATTATCAGTATAGATACCAATACAATAGAATCTATACTTGTTAGTTTTTTGTTGTTGTTGTTGTTTTTGTTTTGTCAGTCGTGGGGCTTGAACTCTGGGCTTGGGCGCTGTCCCTGCGCTCTTCAGCTCAAGGCAAGAGCTTTACCGTTTGAGCCACAGCACGACTTCCAGTTTTCTAGTGGTTTATTGGAGATAAGAGTCTTCCTGCATGGGCTGGCTTTGAACGGAGATCCTCAGATCTCAGCCTCCTGAGTAGCTAGGATTGCAGGCGTGAGCCACCGGCGCCTGGCTTACTTGTTAATTTTGACCCCTGTTCCTGGCTTGCCCCCCTCCCAAGGCAGGCTGTGGACGCAGAGCTCCTTTTCCATAGGGCAGGCACTGAAGTCTGATCTCGTGGCTCTTTGGCTTGCAGTGGCCATGCAGGAACTCTAACCTGTTCCTTGGACGGTGCTTCCTCGGCCCTCCTCACTCCTGAGGGGTCACACACCCTGGAGGGAGGATGGCCACAGAGACCCAGGAAGAATCTGTGCAAACAGGCCTTGCCGGTTCTCTGCCAGTCTGCTGGACCACACCCTCTGTCCAAGCGTGACCCTTGACCCTTCCACCCTACCTCTACTTTGACTCTGGGAGAGCCCAAAAGACAGGGTCCAAAGGGCATCCAAGGCACTAAACCCTCAGGTCTTGGGGGCTCAGGAAATGAGAAGAGAGGGCCCCCCACCCCATACTTCTGCCTCCCTCCCTTCTCTACCTTCCTTCCCTCTCTCCCTCCCTCTTTAGCTCTTTTCCTTCTCTCTTTTCTCTCTTTCCCTCCCTCCCTCCCTCCTTTCCTTTTCTTTTTTCCCAGTCCTGGGTCTTGAACTCAGGGCCTGGGTGCTGTCCCTGAGCCTCTTTGTGCTCAAGACTAGCACCCTACCACTTGAGCCACAGTTTTCTTTTGTTTGTTTTTTGTTGGTAGTGAGGCTTAAACTTGGCCTGAGCGTTGTCTCTCAGCTCTTCAGCTCAAGACTAGCGCTCTACCACTTGAGCCACAGCATCATTTCCGGTTTTCTGGTGATTTATTGGAGATAAAAGTCTCACAGACTTTCCTGCCCAGGCTGGATTTGAACCGTGATCCTCAGATCTCAGCCTTGTGGGTAGCTAGGGTTACAGGTGTGAGCCATCGACACCCAGCTACACTTCCAATTTTTGAGTAGTTAATTGGAGATAAAACTATTATGGGGACTTTTCTGCCCAGGCTGACTCTGAACTGAGTAGCTACGATTACAAGCGTGAGCCACTGGATTACAAGCCTCTCTCTGTGTCTCTCTGTCTCTGTCTCTCTCTCCCTTTCTTTTTGTTCCTTCCTTCCCTCCCTTCCTTCCTTTCCTTTCTTTCTTTCTTTCCTTTCTGGCACTCTACCACTGGCACCACTCCACCACTCTCTTTTTACATTGGTTGTTTTCTTTCTTTTTTTTTTTTGTCAGTTGTGGGGCTTGAACTCTGGGCCTGGGCACTGTTCCTGCACTCTTCACCTCAAGGCGAGCGCTCTACCGCTTGAGCCACAGCGCCATTTCACATTGGTTGTTTTCGAGGTAAAGTCTCACTTTTTGCTTGAGCAGGCCTGGACTGTGATCCTCCTATTTTGTGCTTCTAACTATACAACCGTGCTTTTCCCCATCCTTGTGCATCCTCCACAGCCCAGAATGTGCATGCCACTGTGCCCAGCATTCACTGAGATTGAGTGTTGACAACTTTTCTTCCAGGCTGGTTCCAAGCCAAGCCTTGATCCCCGGGCCTTGACCTCCCAGGTAGTTGGGATGATAGTTAGGAGCCACTGTGCCTGGCTCTGCACTATTCTTCCCCACCCCCCCCCCCCCGCCCCTAACTCCTCCCCCCCCTGCCCTTTTCTGAGAAGTTTATTGGAGATGAGAGTTTCATAGACTTTCCTGTCTGGTCTGGATTTGAACCTCGGTCCTCAAATCTCAGCCTCCTAAGCAGCTTGGATTATAGATGTCTGCACTATTTTTTTTTTTTTTTGGGTCCTGTCGTGGGGCCTGAACTCTGGGCCTGGGCCCTGTCCCTCAGCTCTTCAGCTCAAGGCTAGCGCTCTACCACTTGAGCCACAGCACCACTTCCAGCTTTTTTTCTTTTTGCTTATGTGGTGCTGAGGAATTGAACCCAGGGCCTCATGCATGCAAAGCAAGCGCTCTACCACTGAGCCACTTTCCCAGCCCTGCACTATTCTTTATAATAGAAATATTATTTATTTTCCATCCCTGAGATCTGCAAGGTGTTCAAGCAAAGGAGTCACAAGCTGCACCAGAGGAGGGGGCGTGGGAAGCTGTGTTTACTGCAGGATGCTGAGAAGCGCTGCTCACAGGTAGCTTGTGGCTGGCATCTGAACTGCAGGGCGGGGTGGGGGGGATGGGGGGGGTGGGGGGGTGGGCAGGGCACCAGCCTGTGGGAATCTCACACCATCTCCAGGTAAGGAGTGTCAGACCTGAATTGAATGATTGGCCAGCTGCTGCAGAATGGGTCCCCTCTCCCAGGTGACCCTAGTGGTTAGAGATTCGAAGAACAGGGAAAGAGAGACACTTCATTACTTCATTGTTGTTGTTTTTTGTTGATCGTGGGGCCTGAACTCTGGGCTTGGGCGCTGCCCCTCAGCTCTTCAGCTCAAGGCTAGCGCTCTACTACTTGAGCCACAGTGCCACTTCCAGCTTTTTCTGCTTATGTGGTACTGAGGAATCAAACCCAGGGCCTTGGGCACATAAGGCAAGCACTCTACCACGGAGCCACCTTTCCAGCCCACCTGATTGTTTTTTTGCCCCAGCAAAGTAGGCAAGGAACCATAACATGTATAATAAATACTGCACAAAGCTGGGCACTGGTGGCTCACGCCTGTAATCCTAGCTATTCAGGAGACTGAGGTCT